CTTCTTCATTATCATCCTGTGGAGTATACTTCGTCAAGCAACCGCACAAGCCCGAGAATTGAAAGTCATTTTGAGGTCGAACGCGCGACGGACTTTGGACCCATCGAAAGTGCGTGTCATCGTGAGGGCAATGGAACGAGCTGATCATCTACGATTAATCTAGGAGACGGTTTGGATGTTCATTTGTGAGTTCGTTCCAATTTTCCTTTTATCTTTTCCTTTCGTTAACATTTCTTTAAATTCAAAAACCGCCTTTATTTAGTGAGTGCCTTATTATTTATGCTTTGCTCGCAACACATCAATCTCTCATCTACATTTTAAATCAATTTTTACTTCATATGCTTAAAGCAAAATTTTGCGTAATTTAAACTATACAGGAATTCAAATAACGGTAACTTGTTTACGTAACTCGCTCGCTTCTTATCATCGTCAGCTGACCAGTCCGGTTTGCTTGCACATCTGTTCTTTTGTTCTCCTAACGAGCTAATATCCCGCTGTATTTTATTGCCTTATTGAATAGATTTTATTTATTTTGTTGCACATTACCGCTATATAGCTATGGCCGAAGAAAAGTTGATTAAGAAACGCGGTGGAATAAAGTCGAAATTGACTATCTTTACTAAATACATAGCAGTGCTTCAATCTGGCGAAAAACCTAGTAGTTTACAACTGCTAGATTTAGAAAGCCGCTTCAATAAATTTAATGCCTTATACGCGGAATATGACAAATTACAGTGTGAGATCGAGACGCTTTCAGACTCTGCAGACGACCAGCTCGCGGAACGCGAAGAATTCGAATGTCATTATCATGCGCTAGTGGCGGCGGCACGCAGTCTGCTCGGAGCGCAGCCGGCACAGCACCGCGAGCGCCTGGATGGTTCCGTATCGAGTTTTGAGGATGCACAGGCAAGTGGTTTTAAATCTAATTGTGTTAGATTGCCTAAAATCAATTTACCCGTCTTTCATGGTCACTATCAACACTGGCTTGAGTTTAGGGATACTTTTGTTTCTTTAATTCATTGCAGGCAAGATATAGATAATATCAATAAGTTGCATTATCTTCGTGCATCTCTGAAAGGTAGTGCCTTGCTCGTTATCGATAACTTGGACTTTAAGGCCGAAAATTATGACTCGGCGTGGGACTTATTGTGCAATAGGTACGATAACAAAAGATTACTTGTTAATAACCACGTCAGGGAACTTTTCAATATTGAATGTATACGTAGTGAATCTTGTTCAGCAATTCGTCGCCTTATAGACGTTACAAATAAAAATCTTCGTGCACTGTCTACCTTAGAACAGCCTACTGAGCATTGGGACACACTTATAATACACATGATGGCCGAGAAACTTGATAGTGTCACTCTCAGGGTATGGGAAGAGCATAGAAACACTCTAACTACCCCACCTTCTTTAGACACATTTATTACCTTTCTTAGGAACAGAGCAGACTTATTGGAGACATTGCAGGAAAGTAAAGGTAACTCACACAAAATAGAAACTTATAAAACGAATTCAAATTTACTTATTGCTACAAAGAGTCAAAAATCAAATGAAAATCTTAATGTAAACAAAAAAAACAATTCATTTCATAAAAAAATATTTACATGTCTCTTATGCAATCAAAATCATTTTCTTTTTAACTGTGAAACATTCAGAGCCCTTCCTATTGAAATGCGTATACAAAAGGCAAACGAGTCTAAGGTCTGTCTAAATTGTTTACGTCCAGGGCATTTAGAAAATAATTGCAACCTTGTACCCTGTAAATATTGCAAAAAAAGGCATAATACGCTATTGCATTTGCATGAGTCACGGCCTATCCCTGAGCCTGCCATTGCCACAACTAGCAACTTTGCCACTTCAAACGAGTCGAAACAGTTTACTACTCCTCCGCATGTTTTGCTTTCCACAGCGCTCGTGAAGGTGGTAGACGGCAAGGGCATCGTGCACTCTGCTCGAATGCTGCTCGACAACGGCAGCACGGCTAATTTCATTACGCAATCGCTCTGCGGTAAGCTGGGTTTGTCACGGCGTAGTGCGTGCTCCACGGTGACAGGTATCAATAATAATACTTCTCATATTACACAGTCTTGTAGCCTTACTATCAAATCCTTCCATAACGATTATAGTCTTGCTGTTGACTGCCTTATTTTACCACATATCACCAAAGCTTTACCTTCTTCATACATAGACATAGAAAATATTCCTCTTCCTATGGGAATAAGTCTAGCGGACCCTTCCTTCAATATGCCGTCAGTCATAGACATCTTAGTCGGTGCACAAGTATTTTGGTCTGTCTTATGCAATAACTCTATTGACTTAGGTAAAAATCAACCTAAGTTATATGAGACAAAACTGGGTTGGCTAATATCTGGGCACGTCGCCCGTCTTAAGTCACCGTCTTCGTCCCCCATTTGCCATTTTGCAAATGAGGAACCCTATCCAGACTTATCACGTTTCTGGGAACTAGACACTGTCGCAGCTAAGCACTCCTTATCTCCAGAAGAGCGTGCCTGTGAGCAGAGCTTCTTATTAAACACCACGCGCAATGACGACGGCGCCTTTATAGTCACTATGCCGCTGAAGGAGAATCCTTCAGTCTTAGGCGATTCATTTCAAATGGCAAGGAACCGCTTTCTATCATTGGAGCGTAAGTTTCATAGAGAGCCTGTCTTTAAAGATAGGTACATGGAGTTCATGCACGAATATGAAAGCCGAGGTCACATGACCGAAAATAAGGAGCTTTCTTCTAGCTGTCTTCAACAAATAAATTATTTTTTACCTCACCATGGTGTCATCCGTGAGTCGAGCCTTACGACAAAACTTCGTACAGTCTTTGATGCTTCTGCAACTTCTAGCTCTGGTTTGTCACTTAATGATATCCAGATGATCGGTCCAACTGTACAAGAAGACCTTTACTCCATATTATTACGTTTTCGTCAACACAAATACGTTGTAACCGGGGACGTAGAAAAAATGTATAGAGCGATTGAGCTCAATCCCGCTCAACGCTCTCTTCAACAAATTGTGTTTAGGTATGATTCATCAGAGCCTTTAAAAACCTACACGCTTAACACAGTGACGTATGGCACAGCATCTGCGCCATATTTAGCCACTAAGTGTCTGGTCAGTTTGGCCTCCAGTGCTATCGATAGTGACGTGAAACAGTCAATTCAACGTGACTTTTACGTTGATGATTATTTAGGCGGTTCGTCAACTGTTGAAAACACTGTGAAGCTTTGCAAAGGAGTCATAACCACTTTAAAAACCGCCAAATTCAATTTAAGAAAATTTCAGTCAAATAGTCAAGAAATTCTTCATCAAATTACGCCTTTATTCTGTCAATCAGACAACGTCTTAGATATCTCAAACAGTGACATTCATGCCTCATCAAAAACTTTAGGTTTAAACTGGATCTGCGATTCAGACATCCTATCGTATTCTATAAATATTGAACTTCGTGAAAAGGTAACTAAGCGACACATACTTTCAGTCATCAGTCAAATTTTCGACCCACTGGGCCTCGTGGGACCGTGTGTTGTCGAAGCCAAAATGATAATGCAGAGGTTGTGGATCGAACAATGTTCATGGGATGAAGAGGTCTCACAAGAGATACAACAACTATGGCTGTCATTTGCCAACACGTTACCCCTTCTTAACCGATTACAGGTTCCTCGCTGGGTTTTTACAAATGACCCTGTTTTCCGTGAAATTCATGTATTTTCAGACGCATCAGAGCGAGCGTATGGGGCTTGCCTCTACATTCGCTCCGTAGATACCTTAGGTTCAGTCAAGGTGCACCTCTTGACCTCGAAGAGTAGAGTAGCGCCAATAAAGCCAACAACAATACCTCGTCTCGAACTACTCGGGGCTCTACTGGCTGCAAGGCTGTGTACCAAAGTATTATCATCTTTATCTTTACCCATCACCATTTGCAGATTCTGGTGTGACTCAATGATTGTATTAGGGTGGTTATCTACATCACCTACTAATCTTAAAAGTTTTGTTCGCAACCGTGTGCATGAAATACAGGAGAGCACGGAGAGTTATACGTGGAGTTACGTACCGTCGAAGGACAATCCGGCGGATCTTGTTTCTCGAGGGCTGAAGGCTGACCTCATCAGCGATTCATCGTTGTGGTGGTCGGGGCCACCTTATTTATCAAAAAATGAAGCTTTTTGGCCAAAAATGCCCAACGTTAGCGTGAAACAGGATCTACCCGAGTTGATTACTTGTTCTTTTGCGCTTGATAATAATGCTGATAACACTGACTTAATAACTAACTTAATCAAAAATAAATCTAAATTAACAAACTTACAAAACACGATAGCATATTTACAAAGATTTATTTACAATTGCCGGCATCCAACAAATAAATTAACTAGACATCTTTCAGTTCATGAACTTCAAAACTCATTGAAATTAATCATACGTAAATCTCAGTCGGAAATGTTCCCTGATGAATATGCTATTTTTAGAGCCGGGAAGGTTCTGCCTAACAAAAACCGATTGATTGCTTTAAGTCCATTTATAGATTCTGATTACATAATTAGGGTTGGTGGGAGACTAGACAATTCTCCTTACAGTTACGAAACAAAGCACCCAATTTTGTTATGCAGCAAACATCACTTTACGCAAATGCTTTTTCAACAATATCATATTAAATATTTACATGCACCCCCTCAACTTATGTTAGGAAATATAAGACAAACTTATTGGCCCTTAGGTGGCAAAAACCTTTCAAAAAGTATCGTCAATAAATGTGTGCGATGTTTCAGACACAAGGCTGAAACTGTTCAACCTATCATGGGTCAGCTGCCAGTTTCTAGAACGGAGCTAGAGTTCCCATTTTTACATTGTAGCGTTGACTACGCCGGGCCAGTATTGATAGCGGACCGAAAGGGTAGAGGTTGCAAACTAATAAAGTCTTTTTTGGCAATCTTTATTTGCAATTCGGTTAAAGCCTGTCATATCGAACTCGTTACGGCTCTATCTAGTGAAGCGTACATGGCCGCCTTAAATCGTTTTGTTTCACGTCGCGGCAAGCCTGAAAGCATCACGTCTGACAACGGTACCAATTTCGTTGGTACTTGTAACGAGCTAGCTCAATTCCTCGTACAGTCGGACCTAGAAGGTCGCATTGCTCAAGAAGGCATCGAATTTAAATTCGTGCCGGCTTATACACCCCATTTCAATGGCTTAGCTGAAGCAGCCGTACGTTCTACAAAACATCACCTTAGACGCTTGTTACAATTAACTCATTTGACCTATGAGGAGATGGCTACATGCCTCACTCAAATAGAGGCAGTACTAAATTCTCGTCCTCTCACCCCTCTTTCCACTGATCCCTCAGATTTTTCCGCTCTCACTCCTGCTCACTTTTTAATTGGACGCTCACTTATGTCCGTTCCTCAGCCGCAGGTTCCTGATACGAACATCAACCGCATCGAGAGATTCAGACGAATTGAGTTGCTGAAACAACACTTTTGGAAGCGCTTTTCCTTGGAGTATGTTACACTGCTTCAAGAAAAGACGAAATGGCGAACTTCAACTAAGGAGCTGAAACTTAACTCTCTTGTTCTCGTCAAAGAAAAGGCGTTGCCACCACTACTGTGGTCTCTAGGACGAGTCACTCAGCTCTACCCTGGTAGCGATGGAGTCACTAGAGTCGCGGAGTTAAAAACTAAGAGAGGCACCATACGAAGAGCCTTTAATAATATTTGCCCTCTTCCAGTTCTTTGAAGTCTTCACACTTCAACCCGGGGAGCATGTTGCGAACCGGTCTTATACCCGCTCGGCACGAGACGCGGGGGAGGACGACACGGCAAGCGTGACGTCACGGCGAGCGGCAGCGGCGCAGGGGCACTCGCCTTATCGACAGCCACCGGCGACGGTCGACCCCTATTATTTATTTAAATTTAAATTCAACGAAGACACTTGTGATTGAGACGGCGAATATACCAGTCCTATTGTAATACAGTCCACTTTTATTTCACGTCCCTTAGGACCCTAACACTCTTGTTCAGGCGTTGATTATATAATAACATATAATAAAATCGCGAAGAAGTATCTGTACTTTTATTTATATATGTTAAGGTAAAATTCAGAGCTAAACCGTTAATTAGTTTCGAGAACAAACAAAGAAATGCCATCTATACAATTTATTGCAAACTAACAAATAAAAAGGTATATCATTAAGAAACTCTCGATTTGTTATCTTTTCAACGACTGTTTATTGTAAACAAATTTTAATTCAACATTCTTACAATGTTGTTTAAATACTTTTGCATATCTTTTTTACATTTTATACTTCTTTTTTAGTATGACATGCCTCAAATTGTCGAGATTCAATACTTTTAATTTTTTATTTCACCGAAGTTTCGCAACCCACAGTTTTAAATATGTAATAAAGTTAGTATGTATGAATTAATACCCCATTTCTTCATACATCTTTAAAGCGACACAACTCGATTACGGTTACGGACACTTCTTACTTCATTGTCACGCACTATCAGATGTTTAATGAAACGGCATGTATCTAGACTTAATATTTCAGGTATCCCCATTCGCACAGAAGTAGTGCTGTACCCTACTCCAGCAGACACAGGGATTGTCGTCAATATCTTGAGAATATTGGTCGAAATACACTGGTGGCTACTGGTAGCCCTGATGACAGGTGTGGACTGCTTGGTTGCTACCTCGCTAGTCTTAGTGGGATATAAATTCAGGTTTGAACAAATTCAAAAGTACTTTTCCTCCTATCCTATTTATATATCCTTTTTAGGAACCAGGCTGTTGTCGGTGTAGCCTCCTTCTCTCCTCACGTTTCTTAGCCATTTTTCGTAGCAGTACAGCTCCTTGTTAAAGGGTTCGTCATCTATATCTGCCGCCAAGCAGTAATGGGAGCATTATTGGTTTTTGTTAAGGCAAGTGTGCTGGTGAAATTACATGGGATGTATCAACTTATGTCACTCAGATCTTTAAATGGCGAAGATATGATAGGCACTTCCACTGCGCCCGTCACGCTCACCTTACTGCTTGGCGGCACAAATTCTTATTTATCTTTTCAAATGGCCAAACATTATAACACAAGGCCATCCCAAGCCTGTCCAAGCTTCGTTAAAGTTAAAATTAAATCGGCCATATTAATCCTACATTGATCATCTTGCAGGACTCTGGCAGCGTACTTCGGCAGTCTCCGGCAGAAGTATTTGCAGCGCTCGGGCGAAAACTTGGATGTTTTAGAGAAGGATTTCCGCAAAGATTTCATCGCAGGCATCAAATTTCATAAAGAAATATTATGGTAACATATAATTGTTTTTTAACTGTAGTAGTCAAACGATGGCCCTCCTCACATCGTGCTCTGCATGCCCTAACACCTGCACGCTTGAAGATTTAACGGCGGCTACTAGCGACGCGGTCGACGTGGCTGAGTTTTGCGCCACAACAGTATAGTGTATGCCATCAATACCTACTATAACAAGAGGAAGTACTCATGTACACTGGGCTACACAGCTGTGGGTCACTGCTACGGCGAGTTAGACAAACTTTAAAATTCTTCGTTGAAAATTGTAACGTTTAATTGGCATTTAAAAAGTGACAATCAATGTGTACCCAGTCCAGAGCCCGACTGTTGTAGTGAGAGAGTAATTGCTTTTCAATAGAGAGTTAATAGTTCGACCCTGTGACGAGTTATACCCTGTTTTGATTAGAAATCAAAGAAGGAAACATTATGTTGAAATCTGCATGTCCAAGATGCTACACAACCGCTGGAAAACATATTAAGTCCTCAACCTGCTTAGGTCTAGCGTGACCATGACCTAAAACTGTCTCCATCGTCATAATTAGCTGACGGTGATTGTGGTGTGATTTAATTTGTTGTAATCTGTTTTTACCAGGATCCAGCGTTACCTCCAATACGCTTTGGGGAGCACGTACAGCATTCAAATCACTGAAAGCCTCTTATTGCTGTCAATAACAATGATCAAAATGGTGGTAAGTATACTGTCGTACCTCTAGTGCCTCTACCAAAAGAGTCAACCTCAAAAATCTGTTGTGACTTACACCGAAAAAACCCGACCTCAAAACTTTATTGTGACTGACACCGAAAAGAGCAGATTTTAAAACTATATTGTGACTGACACCGAAAAGAGCCGACCTTAAAAGTTTATTGTGACTGACACCGAAAAGCGCCGATCTTAAAACTTTATTGTGACTGGCACCGAAAAGAGCCGATCTTAAAACTTTATTGTGACTGGTACCGAAAAGAGTCGATCTTCAAAACTTTATTGTGCCTGAAGCCGAAAAGAACCGACTTCAAAAGTTTGTTGTGACTGACGCCGAAAAGAACCGATCTCAAAAGTTTGATTATGCGCTTTTGCTATGCTCGTTATCGCGATCTCCTCAACAATAGCTGAAACGCATATGGAAGTATTAGAAGTATTAGTGCGGGAAAAATTTTAATGCGAGCTGAGGCAGTAACGACCCTTAATTCGTACATGTCCCGTAGTCTCGCGATTGATAGTTAATAAACACACAATGTAGGCAGGCAATATGGTTTAATATTACACTCCAGCACTCCATTTCCATCGAAGATGCGCTAGGAGAGAATTGAAATTTTGTCGAACAAATTTCAATCCTCGTCTCGTCTCATCTCGTCTCACCTCGCTGATGGAAAAGCACCTTTATGAAGCTTTTCTCTGTGTCTGTGTGTGTCTATGACATTCTAGCTCCCAAACGAATGGACCCAGAGATGTGCAGTTGGTTAAAACCCAGGTAGCCCGTCCAAGTTTTAACCCATTTTTGCTCAAAATCGTGGGCAGAAACGGCGAGTACGGAATTTGTTATAATTCCATACTTATAATGTAGATGTAAAAAAATCTTTTATAGACGAAAAAGAGGCAACTCCACATCGATTCAAGTTTATACGATCTAACGATTTTTTGTATCGATTTATTGCGATGAGATTTTGAAGCGAATCAATAAAAAGGCAAATCGAATCGTGTAGATCAGAAAGCAATAAAATGTTGTAATAACATCACTCAATTTGAACTGAACATGATTTACACCGAATATTTAGTGGTAATTAGTTTTCCAAACTCAACCTTACAATGTATCGGGGAATTTTAAATTTAAACTATTTTAACACCGTAAACTCAAGGCAAAAGCAGCTCTGGAAAGTTAGTCTCAACATTACCTATAACAGTCTGTAGTAACAGGTTTAATCATTTGTCCTGCCTAAAATGAGTTATTCTATTTTTACACAGGCATTGGAACGCAATTCAACCAATCTCATCGCAAACTTCAGCTATATATCGTGTGTGATCGCGTTAACGGGAGCCTACATGCTGTCGGGTGGTAATATCATGATTGAGGTGAGGTCTTCATTTTTATTTGGATTTCTCTTAAGCTTAAAAAAGTAGTAAACTGATTTTACTTTGGAGTGGAAGTATGAAATACGCTCAGACTGAGTAGGTACTAAGCACGTGCGTTACGCCTCTCCCGCTGTAGATGTTTCCATACAAAATTTTGTACTAAGTTATGTGAGTCCGGGGTCTTTTTTAGTTCAATAGCGTAGAACGTTGATTGAGGAATGTATGCGGTTTTATTGAGTTCACAATTTACAATTTGAAATAGTACAAGTTAAGCCGTAACTCAAGCGACTAGGAGCTTGTATTCGAGTTACTGGTTAAATGTGAACTGCCACGCCGCCGCCGGTGTGCGATCCTTTATACCAGCCGGTGAGTGGCATCGCGTCGCTTTGTAGATCATCGAGAATGTTCTGGAATGTCGCTTGTCGCCAGGACGCAGACCCGGAATGTGTTTTGTATTGATGCAAAAACTATTCTCTTATGGTTATTTATTGCGTCCCAAGATAACGTTGCGATTATCGAGTTATGGTATGCATTAGATGTTATCTTCGTATAATGTCATGGTGCAATTAAGGTTGCTTATTGTTTATGGATCTTGGCGCTGTTGGTGGTCATTCCATATCTATTATTATATATCTCAATGTGTGATGATGTGACCTCCTTACATCGTCATACCACCTTTTTATCACCTTTTCTCTGGTTACTGGCCACTTGTTTTCAAATTTTGAATCGTTTTTTAATTCCTTTGCTTCGTCATTCTCTGTTTGTTTCGTTCCGTCATCACTCCCTGCTCAATCGCTGTAGCGAGCAGTACTGCTGTAATTTTTAATTGCGTCTAATTTTGATTCTTTTACCAGTTCCCAACCTAAATCATGTGCCAATTATAATGCTAATCTAATCTAGTAATACTGTATAACTTGGCCCTTTCGGGGTAAGTCTGTCTCATGTTTAGTATTTAAGAAGGGAGTGTTTTGTAGCGTTGTACCTGTTTTTTATATACCTTTTCTTGTTACAGTCTTTTCCTTTTGACTTAACTATGGAATAAACTTTTGTGGACCGAAGAATTATATTTTATCGCCATGATTCCGGTCACGGCACATTAGCTAACTTCTCAACTACATTATTACAATTTTACTATAGCACGTTTACTTTACTTAGCACTTTGTCTCAAAGCAGGTACATTTTATTATGATTAGCCTGTGCTCCACCGGTGGTGCACCCCGATATGAACGTGTTAATGTGGTTCTTCGTACTTTGTTTATAAATGCTTGTTGAACAGTAAGACGGGCGAAATATTTATATGGCGTACATTTCTTTCTCTCCTGCATTTGCGTAATTTATGGTTGTGGTGTGTGTCCATGGCACCCGCGTTACAGGGTTTCCGTAGTGAGAGGCCATGAGCGTGAGCGTTAAAATTAAAAAATGAATAAATCGATACTTTTGTTTTCTTAAACAAACCAACGTTTCGAGCCCTTTACAGTTCACACGGTTACTACTAACTGAGATGGTAAAAAGTTATGTCTAAGGCTGATTACACATGGTACCATGGTGGCGGCGTTTCTTGCTGCTGCGACGACGCCGCAATGGTTACGGCGTCATACCGCAGCACCAGCGGTGAAAATCCAGCCCAAACGGCGTCATCTACTAAAATCGTACATTAGTAGAAAATTACGGTAACACTCGCCGCCGTGTGTATACAAATGCAAGGGCGACTACAACTGCGACGCCGCGGTGCCGCTATTGTTACGATGCCGTGTGTAATTACCCTATTATTAATGCAAACCACACTTTTTTCCAGTGTAGTTACAATTCGATGGTTTTCTAGAATAGCGGCCTATCTCAAATTCACATAATCCATCAGAAAGATTGTTTAAAAACATCTGCAGAATGTCTTAGAGCGGTTACACACGCGCGACTTAAAGCAGCGATGAGAACGCTATGCAAACGCGCTACTGCGTCGAAAGAAACGCGCGATTGCATCGCTACACTAAACTCGTGATTTATAAGCGATTGCATCGATGCAATCGCGCGTTTGTAGCAGCAAATTGTTATTAATTTTAAATACCTTATTTTTAATTAACCACAAAAACATTCCAATTTACGCTACATACATTTTAGTAAATATTTTATTTTAACAGTATTAATTATACTCAATTATTCTTTTTAATTATAAGGCAATTATAAATAAACAACATATTAACATATTAATAAGTATGCGTTAGAATAGTGTCGTTTCCATAGTGTAATAAATTTGAAAATCTAGACCTCGGTACAGATGGTACAGAGAAAAACTACGTTAGTTCTATCATGATATCGAGTTCTTAGGTTTTCGCGATTGTTACACATAGGAAATGATACTATTTTTCCAGTCAATCGTGGCCATGGGACCTGTAAAGGGCCCGACGTTACGGGGTTTGTTTGATAAAACAAATATACGTGATTTAAATCCGGAAAAATAGTTTCATTTTCTATCATGATGTTACATTTAACCTAGATTAATTATTGTTATCGTATTGTCCACCATCAGGCTGAGAAAATTCCTAAGGCGATATTCTACTCAGGCTGGGAGTTCACCCGTTCAGGCAAGCGCCTGCGCTCATTGATTGTGGTCACCATCATCCGGAGTCAAGTTCCCGTCTTCATGACTGCTTTTGGAATTATTATGCTGTCACATAATAATTTTATTTTGGTGAGTTATTGTCCCTAAACCTGAATCAGAGACGCACAAGACCGGAGAGTTTGGCAGGAGCGAAAGGAGACCTATACCCAGCAGTGGGTGACATGGGGCTGAAAATGATGATGATGATATAATAGATAAATTAATGAGCACTTTATTTCTTTGTTTTTTTCGTAAACAACCATAAATTAAGACACAAAAACCAAAATTCGGAAAATGAACAAAGAAACGAATTTTGTGAAAAATAAATAAAGAAACAAAAAACAAATAAAAATAGAACGGGTATCGATTTATTACCTATATTATTCACAAAATACTAACAACCTCTTAGGACTATATTACTAACACCATAAACAACACTTTTTTTCTATGACTTTGTAGGCCATACGAATATTTCATCCGGCCCGGGAATCGAACCTGGCACCTCTGCATGGCACTCCGGCATGGTAACCGTTCGGCCACGAAGGCAGTTTATATTTATATAAATATAAACTTTTAAGTTTTTACTTTTTTGTGTGACAGTATACACACTTTTCGAGCTGCATTTAGTAATTAGTAAGATAGTAACTTCAAACGTGCAAGCGTCCTCCTCAAAGACCCTCATCCCCGCTTTCTTTTCTTACCGCACAGAGTTATCACTGTTCAGAGCCATCTATTTCAATATTTTTATTTTAATACGAAAGTAAAATCTGGTAAATTAATATAAGTCATGGAACAAAAACATTTAACCGACGATTAGTTATTAATGCACCCTGTATAATGAATGGATTACTTTCAAATGTTTGTAGAATGCAGTTTGTTATTTGTTTCAGATTCTCAAAAACTCATATTCATTCTTTGCTGTAATGTATTAGAAGCCGATCCCGCATTAAAATGGGAAAAAGGAAGCAGCAGAGCACTTAAACTGCACATGAGCATTTTGTTACCCAATAACTCCTAGAAGTCATGTATCGCCGTTTTTAAATAAAGAAAAACTATTATATACGTATTCGCGTCGGTTTATACATTTTGCCACATTACTTTTTGGTATAATAAAACATAAATACCGTTTTACCTATTTCATAATTTTATATGGTCTTCGCAATCACGCCTTGGTCGGCTAATTATCCAATGCCACGGAACTGCAGCATTTCAAGGGAGCTTTAAGCATGCCGCGGCGAAAAAATAGAGTAATTTGCCTCCTCCTATTCGCAATGTAGCTTCTTTTGTATGGCTTTCCCAAAAGAATTAAAGAGTTACTAAAGCTGTTGTTAATTTATTTTAGTATTACTATGCTGACCGGATATCATTCTTATTGTTATTAATTTTATTTTATATTGTTTAAGAGCAATACAAGAATACAAGATATTTATTCGCTGAAAAATGTAGTTAACATTGCGTGTCTTAATATATTAATTTAGATCTTAAATTTCACCATAAACTTGGCATGCGAATATTTTACACCATTCTTTTTTTTAAATTTTAGATGTAGCATGCATTAACGTTAAATTAAAATAAATAGCGTAAACAAACAACAAGAAAAGGAATTTAACCGGTAAATAGGAAGTCAAAAATGCAACATACAATAGTTAAGTTTTACATTTTATGTTATCAAGTAAAAAATCACCAATATTGTAGTAGCATTAAGTAACTAAAAAAATAGGCAATTTCATTTTAAATTGTCTACAATTGAATTCTTTAACAGCATCTGGTAATTTATAAAATAATTTGGGTGCTAATACGAACATCGTTCTACTGCAAAATTCCAAATTAGGGCGTTGTTTGGGCCGTATTTCTATTTTATTTCTTATATTTCTTGGATATCTTGTTTTGACTATATTAAAGTTGCTTAGATTTTGTTTGACACAAACACAAGCCTCGTAAAGCACGCTGCATACTGTAATAATTTTAATCTAAATTAGGTTTTGTTATTTAAAATGTTTACGTTACAGATCAAATACTTGTTATTCTTTTCAGTTTTTGTCCAATAGGCATAGCCATTCTACCTCTTCTCAGGCTTCAGCTGAAAATCAGGACTGTGGCTCTGCCCAGCTTTAAGCTGAGCTGGCTAACCTTTTCGGCTATTATTATGTATTTAGTAATCTTTTTTTAATTGTTTATTAACTAATTTAAATTAAGATATAATTATTACTATTCATTGTATATTTATTTGTAATAGCCGAATAAAGGTTTATTTCTTTATTTATTTTTAATAAACACTATTCATTCTTACGCTTCAATAAATATCGAAATAGGAAAACGGATTTTCAATTCATCCAGCGTCTCCATCATCACAAAAATTGGACATTATTCACTGTCTACGTGGTTCACGTGTGCATTCCTTCAGCACAGCTGGACGTTCAGTGGCTGACTTTATCCATTCTGGTGGCAACCGCTGCCTGTGCTCTAGCCATTTTTCATTTAGGTCCTGTATAGAATAACACACGACAGAGACTTCAGAATACACACGCTTATTGTTGGTATGCCTGCTATGAACATGCAAGTGTGCCAGCTACCTACAGTATAAAGGTGCTATACTGAAAGGACCTCACAGGTTTTGTAAAGGTCAGAGGTTGGATATCTGAAAGGAAGGTTCCATCCCACCTTGAGTATCGCACGTTGCGCTCGTTCCAGCCGAAGAAGTTGCTGCTTGGAAGATCCACCCCAAACTGTTATGCAATATGTCGTGAGAGATTGACAGAGAGCCAAATACACAAGTCTCAATACTTTCACGTCAGCAACGAGACTGAGGTTTTTAAAAACATAAAATAATTTACGTAACCGTAGGGAAAGACTCTCAATATGATAGCTAAAAGAAAGTGTGCTATCTAGTTGGACACCCAAGTATTTCATGTAGTGAGTGCGGAGTAAGGATGGACAAGAGCAGGAATTTTTAGAAAAGGAAGGACACGAATGAGCCTTAACAGTGAAACTGGTGGCGGATGGAAGACCACGACTTGAAAGAGAGAAAGGGAGACACATTGTTTTATCCACGTTAAGGGTGAGAAGATTCTGAGAAAGCCATGCAGAAACTGAATTAAAGCCCAATTGCGCATAGTAAAACACGGACTCCCAGGATTCGCCAAAGAATATCAAGGCAGTATCATCGGCATATGTAAAAATAGAACCGTTTCTTAATTGCATGTTACATAGGCCTTTAATATACGCTAAAAATAAGGTAGGGCCGAGAATACTGCCTTGGGGCACACCATACGTAATCGGAAGTTCCTTACTGTTTAAATCTCCAATCCTAACATACTGTCGTCTATCAATAAGATAACTTACAAAAAGGTCAAGCTGAAGTCCTCGAATACCCAACCTTTCCAGTTTAGTAATGAGTAGTGGTACTGATATTGTATCGAATACTTTGGCGAGGTCGAGGAAAACAGCCATCACCTTCTGCTTGTTATCAAGTTTAGCAACGACTTCGTTAGTTAGGTCTGATACAGCGTTATTTGTAGAAATACCAGGCCGGAAACCATACTGAGAGGTAGACAACAATTTCTTTTTTCCAGGGAATTCATCGGCTATTTAAAAGTCTCTCTAGAATTTTACACAGGGTGGGCAGAATTGAAATAGGTCTATAGTTGTTTATTTGACCTCTGTCCCCACTCTTGAACACCGGATGAATTATAGCGAGCTTGAAGGAATCGGGGAAGACACCGGTAATAAAGGAAAGATTACATAGGAACGTTATTGGGGAAACTAAAGTATGTATGATTTTTTTAAAAAGGAGCCAGAAATGCCGTCATTGCCCACAACACAGTCACTACGAAGATTCGCCACAATTCCCTCCACCTCGACCTCATCAGTAGGTAACAGGACAAATGTGTTTGCACTAGAAATAGAACACGAATCAGAGGAATGGTCAATGGGACCCGCGGGGATACCTTCAGCCAAACTACGTCCAATGTTAGCGAAATATAAATTAATATTGTCTATTGAATTAACAGGACTAGCAGATACGAGTTCAAGCGCAGGTTTTCTCTCTTTGGAAGCGAAACAGATGTTCTTAATAACTTTCCAAAGTTTTTTATTGTTATTTTGAGCATTACGTAATTGCTCCCTGTCATATTCAGATTTAGCTTTATATAAGATTGTCGAGCAATAATTTCTATATCTCGCATAGGTGGTCTTGAGGACATTATCTTTTGGTGATTTTTTGACTTTCAGGTGAAGCTGGTCACGATTTCTGAGGCACCTTAGAAGTCCCAGAGTCATCCATGGCTTCTTAAGTGTTTTACGATTTGAGACAACTTTGATAAGGGTATTTGCCGTCATGGCACGGTTTAAGGAGTTAAGAAAATAGGGAGTAGCTAGGTTTACTTCTGTTATATTATATAATTGTTTAAAATCAAAGTTTAAAAGGTCAAGTTCTAAATTTACATAGTCAAGTAATTTAATGGTTTTTGTTTTTTTGAGAATTTGCTATGGAAGGTTTAGCTTTAAGGAAGAATAAAACAGAATCATGATCGGTGATTGATGTATGCGCTATAAAACAGTAGGCTGGGCATTTTGTTTTTAAAATAACGTGGTCTATACAAGAGTAATTATTATGAGTGGGGAGAGAGTGAGAAAATAGGTCAATAAAGCAGAAAATAGGTAGTAAAATAATGAGAATAGTTTGATTTGTATATCTCGTTTGGTCCAGCCATCCTAACGGACACCCAAGGGCCAATAAGTCAAGAGGCCTGCTGATCGCGATATAAGACAGCATGGTTCGGTATCTAGGTCACCAGATGTCGCGACGAGTACCAAAATTTGCAGTTTTTGTAACTAATGACAAACCGCATTTTTTTTTGTATGTTATGGCAGCAAACAAGCATACGGCCCGCCTGATGGAAAGCGGTTACCGTCGCCTATGAACGCGGTGTCACGAGTCAAACACAAAAACCAATACAATAATTGTGTTATCAATGTGTTAAATTTCTTTGAATTTAAAATTTTATTTATTTAATTTAAATTTCTTTTGCTCTAATGTAAAATACCTGCCATTATGTGTAATTATTTTGTTCAATATCAAAATCAGTTCTCGTAACAAAAAAAATAACAACGTTATCAACTATTTATTCTCCGTCTGTAATAAGTCCTTTCTGGACTTTGTATGTGTGTTTTGCAGAGGTAACCTAACAATCAATTAGATCAAAATCGTACTGTCATTTTTACAAATATTATATATTTATAATATGTAATGTAAAACATGTAAATGGTATCAATATCAATCGAGTGGCCCGCGAAATCGGGAATAAACTAATTTAAATGTTATCCTGCACATAATAAGAACTAAAATCATCGACCTTCACTCTTATACCGGTGATTTTTCAATCCTATTCCTGATTAAATCAAAATTCGTAAGTTCTAAGTGCGCTTATGCACATGAAAATAATATTTTTTATTTTACCGTTATACATAGGTAGGTAATTCACAAACTTACCTCCGACAATTAGCCATCAATATTGATAATTTACGATGACGATTAAACAGCTCAGCCGCAAATTTTGTCAAAATCCTCTCGTCTCAACGGAGCGGTAATGACTAATTTGTGAAACAAATATATGCTTGAAGTTCCCGTGACATGCGACAGGAGATGTTGTGTTTAGCGCATTAAAAATGTCGTAAGTGCCAAATTCATTTTAGCGGAAGAACTCTAAAACTAAAGGTATAAAAAAAATCCGTAACGACACTAGTCGATCATGCATAAATATCATTAATTATCTAATTTTTGTCCTAACAACCCGTAGCATTTGGAGAATAAATCGAAAAAATGTGAAAATTAGATGTTATTTCGTGATTTTTATCTATCTAGGAAACTTTATTGTTTTATGTTTCTGATTAATGTCTATGCTTCAATATATCGTGTAGTTACTCATACAAT